ATATAAACCTTTAAGAAACTTTGTTTTGTGAGGATCATGATCCTGCAGCAGTTGTGGTTCAAAAATCTAAGTACAGTAAGCTTCCTCAGAGAAAAGAACAATGGCAAAGCAATTTTCCGAAAATATTACAAAATAAAACCAACCACAGATAACAAAAACAAACAAAAAAATTACAATGAACAAATAAAAGAAAAACGTTTTGACGAAACCAAATAGATAATTTTTTTAAGTCTTATGTAAGTAATTTTATAAAATTCTGACAGCAAAACTAAAATCGTAGAAAACAGAGATATTTATATATTTACTAGATCACGGTGCAGTTTAAGAATTTACAATGTGCCTTCTTTTTTTCCCTCTTATCACAAAATATAGTATGTCTTGTACAGTTTTTTGGGTTTTACTGTAGTGTCACAGATACGTATCAGAGCATTTATATTTTTAATTCTACCCACGTGTTTTTGTAGAATTTTCATTGATGGTATTCATGCAGATGTGTTAAACTTATCTAAGATGTTTGATGTAATTTAAAGCTAACYTTAAAGAATCAGATTAAAAGACTTATTTACTTTAGACTTAGGTCCACTTCCTTTTAGGGTTTTTCATTTGCATCCCAACTGAGCACATAAAAGAAATTGAATACAAGAAATGGGGAGAAAAGAAAAGACAAAAAGGGAGAAATGGGGGGAGACGTGGATGAGATACCATCTGTTTGTTATTCTGCTTTTCTTTCCCAAGCTTGTTATCGTTCCTCATTTCCTGCTGGACGACAAGTAAATAATTCACATGTATACATGTACCAACACTGAAACAAGGCCTCCCCAACTCGCTTTAGCTTTGGACTCAGTTTCAAAGTCATTCCCAGCGAGCGGAACCTCGTGTGACTCTCCTTACAAGCGACGTGTAGAGAAAACAAACAGAAGACTGAAATGTTCCCCTGACATTTGGCATAAAGGCATTAAAAAAGGAAGGAAAATATTCCAGTTGCATGACTCTGCAATCTCCTTCCCACATTGATCCCAAATTGGCACACTGCATCTCTTCACTTCGGAATGACTTCATTCTCTTGGGAGACATCTCACCAAATATCTCTGTTTCCCTTTTTTTTTTTTGCTGCTTCTGTTCTCTGGGGAATCATTAGAAATTTGAGTGCAGATCATAAAAATGTGGTCCATTTTAATTATATTAGGAAAATGCAGTAAGGCAAAAAGCAATAAAGGTCTCTACTGAATTGTTTAAAAAATGATCTCAGAGAATGTTATTTGAGCTTTGACCTTTAGATATTTTAGATGTTCAATTACATGTTTATTGATATTTACTAATGTTAAGGTTTTTGCAAATGAGGCATTAGGTATTTTGAAAATACATCTTAGTGTTGCGATACTTTGATTTGGATTGTATACTGTATTTTGACTTTGATTGATGTCTAGATAAGCATCCCTTCCAGGGGTTCCCACATTTCAGGAATACTTATTGGGATTCTTCA